GGCCATAACCAATACAATCACCTGTTGATCCCATTACATGAGTAATAACTATAACTCATATATTTCTCGGATAGGTCTTACTTTCTTCATAGCTTGCTTTCCCACACATATAATCAAATTTACAAAAATACAATATTATACATAAAACACCCACTACTACCCATTGCATTACTTTAAACCCTAAATTACCCAACCACCCAAAAGGTCCACTATTCGGTGGATTCTGGAGCTTCTTCCTGGTATCATTTCTCTTTGAAATATCATGTGTTATTGCGCCAGAGTTATTGACAATATATGAGCAGCACTCTGTCCCTAACAACGCACAAACGCCTCCTTTGGCGGCCAAGACATAATCTAATGCCAGTCTATTTTGCAATACCACTGCTCTCATTTGTACCTGCTCTTGGGATAGTTTGTTAATAGCATCCACGGTTGCATCTAAAGCTTCATCCACTAGCTTTTTTAAAGCTTCTATTCGAGTTAATGACCAATATACTCCCCAGCCGGGAAATACAATTCCAGAATTAGCTTCATGTTCTCCGATAAATGAACTCCACCGTTTATTTCTAATCATGCCTTCTGGAAAGCTATTTCTATGCCTTATGGCGGGGATGATTGATCCAATGTAACATTCTCCTTCCCATTGAGTAGGTAACCATCTATAGGACCAATTACCACACAGAAAATACACACCTCTGGGAAGGACACTGTAACTATTATCTGGGGTCCCATTAAAACAAGTGTCCAGGAGTATAGAAATAAAGGGAAAGCTCAGTCTTTTTATTGCACCATGAGAGGTCATACTTATTACTCTCACCATTGGGCTGGAGTCTTTGACCGTCATTGCCCAATGTTGTTCATTACCATAGCCCTTTACCCAGGCAGATGTACAGTTAGAATATCCCATTTTAGTGGCATTGGCGCCGTTGTTATGTGAACTGATACAAATAGCACCTTCCTGGGGGCGGTTTATAATATGCAATCTGTCCAATGATTGTGGCTTTCCTTCTTCTCGGTACCAGCCGAATCCTGTATTATTATATTGTTTTAACTCCTCCAATGTCCATGGAACACCAACATATGGGTAACTGCTCTCCTCGCTGAATGATATGGTCCCACAAATCCAGCAATCCGTGCTGTTTGACACTCTCGAATAACTTGCTAATAGATTCAGGTATGAGTTGGAGGACCAGGGATCCGACTTGTCTATATAGCCACCAATCTGTTGGAAGGAAAGAAAACAGGGTGAGTACCTCCACTTAGTAATACAACTTTAGTGTCACCAGGTCCATTGATCAGTATTTCTCCATTCTGTTTGATTTGCTCACCTGCTCGTGGTAGCACCCATACTTTGGAACCTGTCTGTAAGGTATTGCTTTCCTCCCATGTCACTAATACTTTCCGTGGGATCCAAATGGATACCACGCCTAATACAGTGTGTGAGAAAATCTGGCCTGGACACCCCCTGGTCAATGGGATTTCCCACAAATCTGATAACACATTTACCATCCCTGTGGTCAACCATTTATCATCTCTTAGCTCCTCTGTTAGGGCAAAGGTCATTTCAGTCCCTTCTGGTAATATCCCACCCATGGGAAGGATGTATGTCATCCATTCATCACCCTGTACAATCTCAACTAGGTTCTGGCTGACCACTTTAAATTTGTTCTTCCCCACCTGTTGGGGGAAAGATCCCTTGAACCTTAATCGAACTGACACAGTTGGTGTCCCTACCTGTCCAGTCAATCTTTCATAAGGTGAAAACTGCCCTATTGGTCTACTATTTAGTATCATAACTGCCTGCGTGATCACCCGGTCCCACCCCCTCAATGTCCTACTTGGGGATAGCTTCCGAATCTGTTCTTTTAAAAGCCCATTGCACCTTTCAATCAACCCCGAAGCTTGAGGATGATAGGGGATGTGGAAGATCCACTTAATCCCTGAGTCATTTGCCCACTGCTGTACGAGCTGTCCAGTGAAGTGGGTTCCATTGTCTGTCTGAATCTCAGATGGCAGTCCATAAGCAATCACAAGAGTCTGTAGCATCTGAAGTGTTGAGGCCTGGTTCGCATGTTTGCAGGGTAATACTTTCAGAATTCCGGAAAAGGTGTCTACAGCAGTACAACAATACATCAGCCCCCCTCTTCCTTTAGGCATGGGACCAATGTAGTCCATCTGCCATATCTGTCCTGCTATTGTTCCTTTATTTAAATGTCCACGGGCTTGCTTCTTGAGGGGCCATTTCTTAACCTCATTGCAGGTCTTGCATACTTCTTGAGCTTGGACAATCATCTGGAGAGTTATTGGTAGTCCTCGGGCTCGCGCCCACTCTAGCGTAGCTGCTTTTCCTCTATGACCCGCGGTCTCATGGGCCCAGTCTGCCATCCTAAGTAATACTGGATCAACAGGTTCTGGTGTTATTTTTGCTTCTCGTATTCGGGTCAATTCATCGGCTATCTTATTCGCGTTCTCTCCTCCAGTACTGTCTTTCACATGGGCATTAACATGTCCGAGGTGTATTAATCTTGATTGGGCTGTTTTCCATATATTTTCCCATAAATCTTCTCCTCCGCATACTGTCTTGCCATGTATTTGCCACCTGTTGTTTCTCCATGTAGGCATCCATGTAACACAAGCCTTGTACACAGCCCAGCTATCTGTATAGATGTAGAGCTCTGGATCTGTGGTTTCTTCCATCAGTATGACTATGGCAGTCAATTCAGCATATTGACTAGATCCTCCTATTCCCTTCTCTTGAATCACAATTTGTTGCTGAGGGTTGTAGGCTACTGCAGTCCAATGTTGTCCTTTGTGGGTCATGATTGCAGACCCATCTGTGAACCATGCGTTTTTCTTTTGTTCTTCACCCAGTTCTCTGAATGAAGGAGCTGCCTTGATGGGTGAGGGCTGTAAAATTGGGACTTCTTGTACATTGGGTTGTGAAAGTGTATCATATGTCACTAACCCAGTAAGGAGTTTGGTCAGTTCCTTCACTTCACCTGCTTGGATCCCTCCTCTTTCCTGCAGGTACCACTTCCATTTTAATAATGTCTGACTTTGTGCCACTGTTGTCTTTGCAGATAATCCTTCATCTCGTACCCATCCTGCTATTGGTAAATCTGTTTTCACTGATACTATGCTTTTCTCAGTCATTGTCTCCACATGCTGCAGTGCGAGGTATGCTGCCAGAAGGTGTACCTTTGCTGAGCCCCAGTCAATTGCTTGGACCAAAACCCAATTGGTACTGCCCGCTTGCCTTTGTCTTCGCTCAGTTGCCATAGTCCCCATGATGCTACGTTGTCGTTCACCATCACATCCAATATGAACGGAGCTCCAATTTGAATCGGGCCCAAGCCCTGATGCTGTAATACTGCTTCCTTTGCTGCTTGGAATGCTGTAGCTTGATCAATTCCCCATACAAATGCTGATTTCTTTCTTGTAACATTGTATATGGGGCGTAGCAGCAATCCTAGATGCGGTATAAATGCTCTCCAGTAACTAACTGCACCTAAAAACTTTTGGGCTTCTGTTAACTTCTTAGGTTCTGGAGAATTCTGGATTGTATCCAGCACAGGCTGAGGTATCTTCCGAACAGGCCCAGACCACATCATTCCTAGGACTTTAACTTCTTGGGTTGGACCTTGAATTTTGTCTTTATTTATTGCCCATCCCCGTCCAGTCATGTAATTCACTAGAACAGGTAATGCTTCTTTCACTTCCTCTTTAGATCCCGAAATCATGATGTCATCAATGTAGTGAAACACTGGAAGATGTAGAGTGAGGTGGCTTAAATCCCGTGCAACTAGTCCATGGCAAATCGTAGGTGAGTGTATATATCCCTGGGGCACAACTTGGAAGGTATATTGGCGTCCTTCCCAAGTGAAAGCAAATTGATCTTGCGACTCAGGTGCAATAGGAATTGAAAAGAACGCATTAGCTAAATCTATTACTGCATGCCACTCCGCGGCCTGTTTGGCAATGTTTCCCACAATGGTGATAATATCAGGGACAGCAGCACTCAATGGTGGTGCTACCTTGTTGAGTCCCCGGTAATCCACCGTCATTCGCCATGAGCCATCCATCTTCTTTACAGGGAATACTGGAGCATTGAACGGACTGACAGCTGGACGAATTACACCTGACTGTAAAAGCTTGTCGATAGTTTCACTAATTTCTCAACATCCTCCAGGCAAACTGTATTGCTTCAGTCTTACCGGGTTGCACGGAGGAGGAACAATGACAGGTGTCCAATTTGCATTCCCTTGCACAATGTCTTTTACTGGTCTGAGATAGTATGGCTTATGAGGGAATCCAAACGTGAACACCCCCCACTGTGTCTCAATACTCTGCCCTAGTAACACATCTATTCCCAAGATATTGTCTGGCAATTCTGAAATCAAAACTTTAGCACTGAATCTTGGTCCTTTGTTAATTGACATAGCCACAACAGTTTGTACTGCTTTGGTAATTCTACCTCCTAAACCTTCTATTCTCACACAGGGTCCTGATAGCCTTGATGGATTACCATGCAGTACTGTGACTTCTGCTCCTGTGTCAACTAAAGCTAAAATCTTTGTTGGTCCTGGTCTTGTCCCCCACCACACAGTCAAAGGTACATAAGGGCGTCGTCCCCGGCGGTTAAAGGGGACACATGTACCGCCGGAGGCCCACCATTCTGTCATTGTACAACAGCACTGTCCCAATCCATCAAATCATGTGTCATCAGATCTTTTACAGGATACAAGGATCTGACTTTACCATCACTCTCTGGCAGTGCTTGTTTCTCACTAGATGTAGTATGAGAGTAAGTCCTAGCACAATATTCTGTTGGAAACAGTGAGGACATATGTGGGTATGAATGTGGGGGGTGTTATCTTGGGCTTGAAGTGAGGGTGGGGGCACAGCATAAGGAGCACAATGTTGGAATAGAGGTATGGACAGAGGAGCTGTGTCTGTAGGCATGAGAGGAGTGTTTTTTAAATAACTAGGGGGAGGAGACTTTGGGACAAATGGGGCAGAGGGCATGGTATTGTCTGCCTGATCCTTGCATGCCAAATGTACCTGTACCTTTTTATTAGACCCTTTTTTTTAGTTTTAACCATTTTTCAAACATGGCAGGTGTTGAAATTCCATTAATTTGTTCTCTAGGTACACCAGCCTCAATCAAATCATTCCACATTTGAAAACGATTAACTCTCAGCCTTGTTTTATTCCTAAACTTTCCCTGCTTTTCTCCCTCTATTGGTTCCACCATCTCCTCCCTCGTCCTGTTAGCGGCAAACATACCTTTCCTAGGGTTAGATTCTGACTCTAATTCTCCAATTTCAGCTAAATAAGTGGTGAGCTGATGTACCTTTACATTATTCCCCAAACTGCCCAGCAAAGACAATAAAGATGCCTTCATTTCCTGGGGTGCACTTTTTAAAAACCGAGACTGCATGCTGGCTGTGAATTCCTCCATGTCTGGACCTTCCCAGTTATCCTTGTTTAATCCCACCACACAACCCATAACTCTAATGCGGGTAATAGCATCCCTCGGTTTTGACCAGGGTGAAATGGGCTCCATGTCATTGCTAGATGGGAAGGCCACAATTATGGCATGCCGCACCATATCAAATAATGAAAAATTACCTCCAATCTCCCTCACCCTCCGTAATACCTGCATGAGCTGTGGATGCAGCGTCAGCTGCCCCATACATAATGCTTCCCTTGCATTCAACTGCACACTGTCAGCTCCTCCATCCCACATGCGCAATAACCATTCTCCCACATTTTCACCAACTTCATGCTTATACACCTTTGCCAGCTCCATGAGCTCTGTTTGTGTGTAACTTTTTACCACTTCATTCATCTCTTTATGTACACCATTTCTCAAACCACGCGCTCTATCTTGTAGTCTCCTTTTCCACTGCTGTGTAATGATAGGACGGGCTTGTCGCCTGTCCACATCATTATCATCATCAGAAAAGGATACATACTCATCATCAGATGACTGTAGCGGTGCTTCAGGATCCCATATGGGGTTTGCAACCATTGCTCGCACTTTACTTACAGGCACTGGCTTTTTTCCTTTCTGTGACCTCCTGCGGTTAATCTTTCTTACCAATCAAGTAGTACATTTTTCTTCTAGGGCAGCCACCTGGCATGCATTACTACGCATACATTCTTTAGTCATAACTAATAAATCTTTTACATCCTGCAACTCTTTCTCGAGTGCTTTATTTCTCTGCACCTCGCGGCTAAGGGCCTGCACAACTATCCACCCTGTGGTGGCAGAGGCTTTCCGCACTTTTTTGGAGTATACTCCCAGTCTAACCGTAATGCTTGAGCACCAAGTTCAGTACCAGCATCAGGATAGACAGGAGCTACTTGATCAGCTCCTCAGCAATGGGTTTCCAGTTTTCTAAACTGGCCCACAATGGAATTGTCCCATACTTAGACGCCTCCTTCCCTCCTGCTCTATTACTTTTTTTAAACAGAGTAAGCATCTTTACTCTCAGGGGGAACACAAAAATGCAAATATACCAATCAAAGACAATGTTTGTTAACTATATCTCTTTTCACTGTGCAACGTGACTGTGCTATAGGCTTATTCAATCTATATACACATTCAAATATTCTATATTTAGTGATTGTGCAGTATCCTGTTCACAGCGCCAGTTGTAATGGTAAATTAAGTAATTTCTTTATATTTATGAAGTTCTGAATTTCATAAATATGAAATAATACCACAAATAAAATAATAAAAGGTATACTGGTCAATCACATAAATATTAGTGAATATCTTGAATGAACAGACAAGAGGCAAAGTTTTGATGAAAGTATAAACAAAACTTTACTGGGAATACAATTATCAAGCACACAAAAAACAAATACTTTAAAAACACACACTGCTATAAACAATACATTCAGGTAAGAAATCTACTTAGCTCTATTCATGGAGATTCAGCAGCTTACACAGGATAATTGAATCAGCATAACACACAGAACAATGAGGTGAGTTCCTTGCCACATGTTAAATGGATTTACATGGGCACCTCTAAAGACACCTGGCTTCTTCCGACCCAGTCATGAAACTGAAACTCTAGTTTCTGGAAACCCCTTGAATAACCTCCCATCTAGTATCCACCCACAGAGGTAACATAACCAATACCTAATGGTCATCTCTAGGAGGCGGATACTACATGTGGTCCTTTGTGAAAGGAAGTGACTTAAGAATTCTCAATACCTTCCTAAAGCACATGTCTCATTGACTATGCGGCAGCCATCTTTATTCACTCGACGTCACAGTGCTCACTAGGCCACCTATAGGTCACTTCCTCCCTAAAGCACATGTCTCATTAAATATGCAGCAGCCATCTTCTTGCTCTTAATGTCACATAGCTCACTACACCCC